GTCTCCATATGAATTTCAGCATCATTTTTTCCAGATCTGAGAAGAAGGTCTTTGGTATTTTGATTGGTATCTTATTGAATCTATAAATTGCTTTTGGGTGAATGGACATTTTGATGGTAGTGATTCTTCCAATCCATGAGCATGGAAGATTTTTCCAGTTTTTGGTATCCTCTTCTATTTATTTCTTTAAGATTTTGTAATTTTCATCATAGAGATCTTTAACGTCCTTGGTTAAGTTTATTCCAAGGTATTTGATTGTTTTTGTAGCTATTGTGAATGGGATTGATCTTAGAAGTTCTTTCTCAGCTGAGGAATTGCCTGTGTATACAAAGGCTGTTGATTTTTGTGCATTGATTTTATATCCTGCTACTTTGCCAAACTCTTCTATGAGTTCCAGTAGTCTCTTAGTAGAGTTCTTTGGATCCCCTAAATAAAGAATCATATCATCTGCAAAGAGGGATAGTTTGACTTCTTCCTTCCAATTTGTATCCCACATTCTTTCATGATGCTGATTATCTTTCTGTCTTTCTGTGAGTAGTACATCGGTAATATCATTTGTGGTGACAAATTCTTTCCAATTTTGTTTGTCTTGAAGGTTTTTATTTAACCTTCACTTATAAACGATACCTTCAGGCCAGCACTGTGGTGTAGCGGATAAAGCTGTCATTTGCAGTGCCAGCATCCCATATGGGCGCTGGTTCGAGTCCCGGCTGCTCCATTTTCGATCTGGCTCTCTGCTATGTCCTGGGAAAGCGGCAGAGGATGGCCCAAGTCCTTGGGCCCCTGTACCCATGTGGGAGACCTGGAAGAAGCCCCGGCTCCTGGCTTCAGATCGGTGCAGCTCTGGCTGTTGCGGCCAACTGGGGAGTAAACCATCAGATGGAAGACCTCTCTTTCTCTCTCTGTGTGTGTGTGCCTCTTCTCCTTTCTCTGTGTAACTCTGACTTTCAAGTAAATAAATAAATCTTTAAAAAAAATACCTTCACTGAGTATAGTATTCTGGATTGATTTTTTGTTTGTTTAGGTCTTAGACTATATATCTTTCCATTCTATCCAGGCTGCAGGATTTCTAATGAGAAATCTGCTGTCAGTCTGATTGGCAATCCTTTAAGGGTACTCTGATATTTCTTGTGCATTTTAGTTTTTTTTTAATATTTTACTTTTGAAAGTTTGACTGTAATGTGTCTGAAGATCTTTTCTGATCATGCCTATTTGGGGTTCTGGGTACTTCCTCTACTTAGATGTCTACATCTTCCTCCAAATTGGGGAAATTTTCTGCTGTTACTTCACTGAGTTAGTTTTCTAACATATTCTGGTTCTCCATTCCTTCAGGAATTCCCTACACATGTATATTTGATCATTAGATGGACTGTAGTGGTAACTCTGTGCATTTTGACTGATCATGTCAAAAGACTTACGTTGTCCATCTTGTTTTTAGATTACCAGTTGCAAAGCTTGATGCACACATTATTAGTCATAGTCATATGTGTATGTACATTTCACTTGACCTCTGTCTTTATAAGTATGGTTCATCTGCTTATAGCCATTATGCCTACAGATCTGTTGTTAGTGTACTTGAATGATTATGCTTGCAAAAATATGTATATTATTAGCTGTTACATTGTATAAAGTGTTCTGTTGTGTTTTTATGTACTTCTCAAATGAAATCTCCCTTTAAAATGTAAATAAATGTCTTTTAAATGTTTTTGCAAGCTAATTTTTTCAGAATTATATTTTTGGGATTTTGGTCATTTTGGATTTTTGACTTTAGGGATATAGGATATAAGAGAGTTTGATGTTTGGGATTTCAATATTCAGGATTATGGCGTTCTGGATTGTGTCTTTTGGTATGGCCTCATCTTATTAATGGAGACAAACTATTGTGGGGCAGTCTGATGAGAAGCAGGATGTTTACAAAGTCTCGCAGTACATCCCACAAATTACATGTCAATTACAAAGGGAAAAAACAGATTTACAGTAGACAAACCTGATAGAAACCACGCAGTGAAGTGGTTAGTTGAAACCCCTAGCAATGAGACAAACTGATGTCATGTGTCTTCTAATGCTGAGGAAGACGCAGCGTCACTTCTGTGGTATTTTGACCAAAAATGCACCATCTATATGTAATCATGAAGAAATATCAGGCCAAAAGGAAATTAAAGTAACCATCATGAGAAAGTTGTGAAAGACAATGAAAAACAGATTAAAGGAGAGATATGGCTGCTAATGCAATATATAATGTTAGATTATGGGCCTTAGGATTACATATTTTTATCTCTTATGGTTATTATAAAGATAATTATTGCAATTTGTTTAAAGTCTTCAGTTTTGATAATATTACACAGTATTAGTTCCCTGATTTTGATAACTATAGTATAATTATGAAAAAGAATGTTCTTGTTCTTAGAAAATAAACACTGGGAAATTGGTGTGGTACAGAGTGTTAAGCTGCTGCAGGCACTGCATGCATCCTATATTGGAATGCTGGTTTGAGTCCCAACTAGTCCACATTTAATCCAGCATCTTGCTAATGTACTTGGGAAAGCAGAGGATGATGGCCCAATTGCTTGGATCCCTACTACTCGTGTGGGAGTTCCAAGTGGAGTTCCTGGTTGTTGGTTTCAGCTTGGCCCAGCCCTGGCTGTTTCAGCCCTTTGGGAAGTGAACCAGTTAATGGAAGATCTCTCTGTCTCTCACTTCTTTATGTCACTCTGCCCTTCAAATAAATAAATAATTTTATAAAAGAAAATGTACATGGAAGTATTTAGAATTAACAGGGTATCACATCTGTATAATGATTTGGATTAGGGCAAAGTGTATGTGTAAATACTAAAAAATTTTGTGACTTTTAAATTTGAAATAATTTCAAACATACCTAAAAGTTTCATCAGTATTGTACAAGTATACCCTACTCTAAGACTGTCCCAATTGTTACTATTTTATTGGATTGGTTTAATCATTTTCTCTAATTTTCTTGGAACTTCTAGCTTTGAAATTATTTCAAAATAAAAATTCAGAGAATATTAAACAAGTAAATTCTTTCAACTTCTTTCTATTTCTTTTTGCTTCCTGTGTAGGAGGCGAAGGTAGTTGTTAAGAACATTTTATCAGTTATATTTATATACCAGTCTCTTTTTTGAGCATCTCCATTTCCCTTACTAGACTGTGAGGCCATGAAAGCCAGAAAAAGTGATCTTTAAGTCACTAGTATTCACTGTGGCACAGTGCCTTTCCTGTAGAAGTTTGCTGGGTGAATGATTCTATCTACAGAAGTGTTGAGAGAATGAGCAGATGTTTACAGAACTTAATAAAATGCACTAATACGAAAACATTAATCTTGGTGGACCCGTAAAATGTGGCGACACTGTCTTATAAACTGTAAAATTGACTGGGGAGGAAGAGGTGGTAGATTCCAAATATAAAAAGAAACAGAAAGGCTCGTTCCTTGCTTTGATCACTTTATGCTGTTTGCATGTGTTGAAATATTACAGTGTCTCCCATGAAATGTACAATTATTACATGTTAATCATAATTTTATGAACCTTAGGAATGTAATGCATTCAACACTGAGCTATGTTTAAGTAAAATCTGGGTTAACTGTTTAAGGAGTTGTTTTCATACTTACAGATTTCCATTTTGCTCAGTGTGTGCTCCAAGTCCGTCCCCTGCCAGAAGCTTTCTATTTAAGGTATACAGACTTCATGCATTCATAAGTACAACTTTAGGAACATAGTAATTCTTCAACCCCACCTGCCCTCCCACCTGCACTCCCCTCCTTCCTCCTCCTCCCTCTCCTATTCCCATTCTTTATTTTTTTCACTAAGATCTATATTCAATTAACTTTTTTTTTAAAAAAGGCTTTTATTTAATGAATACAAATTTCATATATGCAGCTTTTAGGAATGTAGTGGTTTCTCCCCTCATTCCCGCCCTCTCACCCCCTCTCCCATCCCAACTCCTACTCCATCTCTCATCCCATTCTTTATTAAGGTTTGTTTTTAATTATGTTTACATACAGAAGACCAACTCTATACTAAGTAAAGATTTCAACAGTTTGCACCCACACAGACACACAAAGTATAAAGTACAGTTTGAAGACAAGTTTTACTGTTAATTCTCATAGTACAACTCATTAAGGACAGAGATCCTACATGGGGAATAAGTGCACAGTGACTCCTATTGTTGTTTTAATAATTAACACTTTTTTTTGATTTTTTTATTCAATGAGCATAAATTTCCAAAGTACAGCTTATGAATTACAATAGCTTCCTCCCCCCCGTAACTTCCCTCCCACCCACAACGCTCCCCTCTCCCACTCCCTCTCCCCTTCCCTTCACATCAAGATTAATTTTCAATTATTTTTATATACAAAAGATCAATTTAGCGTATATTAAGTAAACATTTCCACATTTTGCTCCCACACAGAAACACAAAGTGTAAAATACTATTTGAGGCCGGCACCGCAGCTTACTAGGCTAATCCTCCGCCTTGCGGCGCCAGCACACCGGGTTCTAGTCCCGGTCGGGGCGCCGGATTCTGCCCCGGTTGCCCCTCTTCCAGGCCAGCTCTCTGCTGTGGCCCGGTAGTGCAGTGGAGGATGGCCCAAGTGCTTGGGCCCTGCACCCCATGGGAGACCAGGAGAAGCACCTGGCTCCTGGCTTTGGATCAGCGCGCTGCGCCGGCTACAGCGCGCCAGCCGTGGTGGCCATTGGAGGGTGAACCAATGGCAAAGGAAGACCTTTCTCTCTCTCTCTCTCTCTCACTGTCCACTCTGCCTGTCAAAAAAAAAAATACTATTTGAGTACTAGTTATAGCATTAATTAAACACGTAAGAGTAATTGTGTATTAATTACAGAGTTCAACCAATAGTTTAAGTAGAATATAAAATGCAACTTTTGTATTGTTGTGGCTTCCCCCCCCAACCTCCCTCCCTCCAGTGGCCCTCCCCTCTCGCACTCCCTCTCCCATCCCGCCCTTCATCACGTTTCATTTTCAATTACCTTCATATACTGAAGATCAACTTAGTATATACTAAGCAGGGATTTCAACAGGCTGCACTCACACAACCGAACCAGGTATAGGGTATTGTTTGACTAGTAGTGTTGTTTTTGAGTTTCATAGTTAAACACATTAAGAACAGAGATCCTACGTGACTCCTGTTGTTGATTTAACAATTGGCACTCTTGTTTATGATGTCAGCAGTCACCCAAGACTCTTTCTATGAGCTGTCTAGGCTATGGAAGCCCCTTGAGTTCACCAACTCTGAATTTGTTTAGTCAAGGCCGTATCACAGTGGAGGTTCCTTCCTCCCTTCAGAGAAAGGCGCCTCTCTCCTTGATGGCCTGATACTTCTGCTGCGGTCTTGTTCATCAGGATCTTTCATTTATATTGTTTTTTGCCACCGTGTCATGGCTTTCCATGCCTGTGAGATTCTCATGGACCTTTTAGTCAGATCCGAATGTCCCAAGGGTTGATTCTGAGGCAGGAGTAACACTTATTTTTGATACCAGTGACCACCTGAGACAATTGTCATGAGCTGCCAAGGCTATGGAAGCCTTTTGAATCCACAAACTCCGTCGGTATTTAGGCAGGGTCATATGCAAAGTGGAAGTTCTCTCTTTCCTTCAGAGAAAAGTACATCCTTCTTTGATGGCTCCTTCTTTCCACTGGGCTCTTACTCACAGAGATCCTTCATGCAGAACTTTTTTTGCCACTATGTCTTGACTTTCCATGCCTGAAATGCTCTCATGGGCTTTTCAGCCAGATCCAAATGCCTCAGGGGCTGGTTCTGAGATCAGAGTGCTTTTAAGGTGTTTGCCATTCTGTGAGTCTGCTGTGTGGACTGCTTCCCATGTTGGAACTTTCTCTCCTTTATAATTCTATCTCATGTTATTAGCAGACACTTGGTCTTATTTATGTGATCCCTTTGACATTTAATCCTATCTATATGATCAATTCCAGGTTGCCTGGCTTGACTTTTTGTGTGGTCTAGCAAGTTGCTAAGCATTTCTGTGTCTTGACAGTTGCATTAATCCATTGCAGTAAGTTAATCCATGTCAACAAATTTATATATGGTCATTGCCTGTGACCTCCTTTCTATAACAGATCTAAGAGGAGTTGTCAGTTGTCCACTTTGCTTTGTATAGGACACAGTGGTGACTTCCATAACACACTGCAACTTCCTTCACTTCATTTCTCTTTTTGTCTGTACAGCTTTGAGATGTATTTTGCATACCCTACAATCCACCTATTTAAAGTGCCTGATTCAGTGGTTTTTATTATGCTCATAGATTTGTGCAGCCATCATGACAGTCAACTCTAGAACATTTTATGCTCCCCTCAAGATACTCCTAGCTATGGTACCCATCCCTCATTTCCTTTCCTCCTTTCCCTATTCCCTGGCATCAGGTTATCATTTACCTGCTTTCTGTTTCTCGCTGTTTGCTGATTCCAGGCACTTTAAAACATCTTCCTGTCTAACTGTGAGCTGCCACATGCTCCCTCGCACGTGGAATCTAAAAGGCTGATCTCACGGAATTGAGGGTAAATTGGTGGCTGTTGGAGGCTTGAAGCGGAGAGATGTCCCCGACTTCATGTCTTACCTTTGAGGGTGCTGCTTTTGAATGATAAGTAAATTGACTTGAATGTATTTGTTAATAATTCTCCTGCTTACCCATCATAGCCCTGCAAGTAAAAGGCTGTCTTAGTTTTTTCTTGCTGCTATAGTGAGTTATCCCATACCCACTGTTCCAGAAGAACAGAAATGATTCCTTTTACATATATGAAGGCAGGAAGTCTGAAATGAGTCTTAGGGAGCTAGAATTAAGTTGTCAGTAGGGACGGTTCCCACTGCAGCCCCGCGGGAGTGTGTGTTCCTTGCTTCTCAAAGTTCTGGGAGGTGGCCAGCATTCCTCTTTTACTAGCTATAGTTCCCCAGGGTCTGCTTCAGCAATGGTATAGCCTTTCCCTCATATTTAGGATTCAGGCCCCCTGGATTATCCAGGTAAAAGCTCTCTGTCCCCAAGTCCTTTGATTTAATTATATCTGCAGGGACTGGAGCTGTGTAAATCTAAGTGTAAAAGTCACTGTAGCAGGTAAAGCTGCCACCTGCAGTTCACCCCCTAAAGGGCCACAACAGCTGGAACTGGGCCAATCCGAAGCCAGGACTTCTTTGGGTCTCCCATGTGGGTGCAGGGGCCCAAGGACTTGGGCCATCTTCCCCTGCTCTCCCAGGCCATTGCAGAGAGCTGGCTCAGAAGAGGAGCAGCTGAGACTAGAACCAGCACCCATATTGGATGCTGGTGCTACAGGCGGAGGCTTAGCCCACTATGTCACAGCGCCGCCTCCAGCCAAAGGGTTGTTCAAATTAAATCAGAACCTTGATTCTCACAGCAACAACGGAGTAAATTGATATGCACACATTTTGGTAGATGTTTGTTTGGGGTTCTGTATTTCTTTAGTTGGTTAAAAAAAAAAAAAGAAATTGGTGGGAGAGTCCCCACATAGATAACCAGAATTAAGCTTGTCCATGTTCAGAAAGGCATTACCCATCCTGTCCTCCACATATCCCTTTCTGAATGGTATGTCATTTTGCAACTTTCCAGTTTAAATAAGTGTTAACATAAATGCTTCATCTAAATAAAATATTTTAGGGAAGAGTAGCTGAAAAGAGTATGTGGAATGACTTGCCTAGAATCTTAATTCCCTTTGGAAGAGCTCTTGACTGTAATGATCTTAGATGTGGCCAAAGAATGAAAAAGATGTAAGAGTTGTGGCACGGAAATTAACTCTTCAAAGCCTGTAAGGAGAAAAGAATTTTTTAAGTGGCTATCTTTGGAGTTTTAAGATGCTGTAATCACTGAGAAACTATGTGAAATGTTAAATGTGAAATGTGTGACAGAACAGTGAAAATAACTTCAAACTATCAATAATTGCAAGGTAGGTTAAATAAAAAAAGCTTTGTCACAGCTTCAGAATGCTAAATTTGGCAGAAAGAGTCTATAATCAGTGTCATCAGATTCTGGGGCCCCCAAACCACCATCATGTTAGAGGAAACCCTCTGAATTCCGTGTTCGTATTTGTGCTTCTCTATGTGGAGGAGAGGAGGGACTTCAGAACCAGTTAGGGTCAAGCCCCAATGCTTGTCTGCCTTGGACAGGCTTTTGTTTCAGTGTTTGGGTCTGCCATAACCATTCAAAACACAAATTCTCCTACAGGGGTTGGAATTTTCAAGTGAACCATTCTTCGCAGGGAACTTTTTTAGAAGAGGAGACAATGGTATCAAACTAGAAAAAGAGAATCACCTAGGAAACAGCAATGCAATATGTAGATATAAAGACTGGGCAATATGGTTGACTTGGGGAGAGCTGAAGTTTTAAAAATATCTTACTTGATGTACTACCCTAATGACCTTTTCAAAAAGCAAGATAACAATGTAAGAACACATCAGCAGAGTCATACAGTAGGAGGTTAGAATGCCCCCAGTGATGTCATGCTGGTTTCAGACCAGTCTAGGAAAAGACTGTGGAAATATAAATGTACACTATGCCTTCTGGCTTCATGGTGTTGAAATGTAGACTACATAAATTATAATTTGTAATGTCTGCTGTTTTTGTTAAAGAAGTGGAATTGCCTAGACAATGAGTGTTTTGCTTGAATGAGTTTTTTTTTAAAGAAGCTAGTATTTGTGGTATCATGAATCACACTAAAACATTTTCCCTTTGTAAAAGAAAAATCTGAAGTGACAACTCAACTACAAGTGGAGTGAAATTGGCTTAAGTGGGTAGAAGGTCAAGCTTCAGAGTCAGACAGATGCAAACTTAAATCCTGGCCATGCCACTTACAGTAGGGCAATTTTAGGCAAACTATATTACATATTCACACTCTGGTTTCCTTTTTAACAACAACAGTGGTCATAATGACAGCACCATCCTTGCTTATAGGTGTCTGGTGAGAAGTGAATATGTTCATTCATGTGAACTGCATTGCCCAGTGTCTGGTGCATAACGGCTCAGTGAATAGTGGTTATTATGGTTATTGTTGCTGGATCTACTCTGTGGTCCAGGTACCACAGACTCCAGCACTCTTTTTCCAGCAAAGAGGGGTGGAATGTGTTGTGGTAAATGATGTTTTGTCTTGTCATCAGCCTCAAAAGCTAAGTCAGTGTCTTGGTCTTGTCGCCTATAAGGCCACCACTTATAATAGTTTCCAAATAATTGTAAATCCATGTGTATTTTCTGTCTATAACAAATATACTGGGGAACATCTTATAAATCTCTTAAAAATCTTATAAATCTCTTAAATGTAAGTTTAAAACAATACTTTCTCTTGTCTGACAGATGACCAAATTTACATCTTATCTCCTGCTCTAGAATTTTGTGATTTAGGGGATTAGTCTTTCTGTACTATTCACATTTTTTTTTGGCCAGGCAGAATTAGACAGTGAGAGAGATAGAGAGACAGAGAGAGTTATAGACAATGAGAGAGAGACAGAGAGAAAGGTCTTCCTTCCATTGGTTCACTCCGATCCGAAGGCTCTAGAACCTGGGGTGCTGGTGCCGCAGGTGGAGGATTAGCCAAGTGAGCCGTGGCGCCGGCCACTATTCACAACTCTTAAAATATTACAGACTTGTTTGAGTTTTTACTGTATTTAAAGTACTGTGCTGGTCATATTACATACTTCATTTCATTTCATCTTCAAAATAATCTTGTGAAGCAGGAAATCTTCTAGCAGAGAGTTAACACTTGTGCATTCTAACCATATTAACTTTTAGGCACCAATGTTCTGGAGCAAAGCTTCTCTATGAGTGTTTTATTTTTTAAGTCAGTAATCACATTTGTCTTGCAGTGAGTATCCAGAGACCTATGTGGATGGCTGTGAGTTGGTTGAGGCAAAAGATGTGAATTATGAAAGACCTTGCCTTGGGTAAGCTATTTCACTTCTTAAGGTGTTTATTACTTCACTTATAAAATGGAGCTAATGCTGCCCAACTTCAAAGATTTATTTTGGAGATTAAATGACTTAGTTAACATAGTGTGAAATGTTAGAGTCCAGTTCATAAGAAGCACTTATTAAATAGTGGTCATTATTGTAGGTAAACATGCAAGAAACATGTCACTGATGAATAAAATAATACACAAACATACACACACTGACAGGGACCATGGGGGATACAAAGCTAAAAGTGACATGCTTACTGTATTTGGACTTAATATTTACTGAGTAAAGAATATGTGTGTGTAGAAGAAGTATGCTTTCAGAAATGAAACCAGGACTTTGTGAAAGTATAAGAAGTAGTGGTAAATCCTAAGTTTGGGATGCAGCTCAAATAAAAAATCTTGGAAAAAGTGATATTCAAGCTGTGTCTTGAAAAATAAATACCATGCTACTATTTATAGGCTTCCTATTTGTGGAGAATGGTATAAATAAAAGCCTAACTACAAAGTCCAGTACTCAGAGAATGGTGACTACTATGGTGTGGTGTGTGTCTGGGGAATAGGATTTGTGGAGACGTCAGTTTGTAAATAAGACTGAAAGACCAGTGTAGCCTAGTTTGTTCAATGCCTTGCTAAGGAGTTTTAAGGATACTATCTTAAGGTTTAGAAAACTCCTGAATGAGGAGTATGGAAAGTACATTTGAACAGGTGAGAGAGTTTAGTTTATTTGAAATATGATGAGTCCTTGGACAAGGGCAGAGGAAAAAGGAATGGAATAGAGGAAGGAATTAATACAAAA